TTAAAATAGAGTTCTTTGATTAATAAAAAGAAAAGAGTCCATTCTTCATTCTTCTGTTGATCTGAAAATAAGCAGGTTAGAAGGAATGCATGAGACCTTGAGACCATATCTCATGCAGACTAGTCCTGTCTCAGAGGAGGGGAAAAAACTGTCATTTCATTCTGTTACAGGGATCTCCTCCCAGACATGGACTAAAGCATCCACCAGCTCATGGACAGTCTGGTGCATGGAGTTGGTGGATGGAGCGAGACATGATGTCCCAGATGTGCTCAATTCGTCTTGCAGAAACTGCTAACACACTCCAGCCACATGAGGTCTAGCACTGTTTTGCACAAGGAGGAACCCAGGGCCAACTGCACCAGCATATGGTCTCACAAGGTGTCTGAAGATCTCATCTTGGTACCTGATGGCAGTCAGGCTACCTCAGGTGAGCACATGGAGGGCTGTGCAGCCACCCACAGAAATGCCTCCTCACACCATTACTGACCCACTTGCAAATCGGTCATGCTGGAGGATGTTGCCTGCAGCAGAACGTTTTCCATGGTGCCGTGAGACCCTGTCACGTCTGTCGCATGTGCTCAGTGTGAACCTGCTTTCATCTGTGAAGAGCACAGGGCACAAATGGTGAATTAGCCAATCTTGGTGTTCTCTGGCAAATGTCCAACATCCTGCACGGTGTTGGACTGTAAGCACAACCCCCACCTGTGGACATGGACCCACATGCCAATCAATCAATTAATCAATCAATCAATCAATCAACCAATCAATCAAATCAAAGATACTTTATTAATCCCAGAGGGAAATTAGAGTCTGTTTCTGACTGTTTGAGCAGACACGTGCACATTTGTAGCCCACTGGAGGTCATTTTGCAGGGCTCTGGCAGTGTTCCTCCTGATCGTCTTTGCTCAAAGGCAGACCTAGCGGTCCTACAACTGGGTTGTTGCCCTTCTACGGCCTCCAGATGTGCCATTCTGGTTGAGCTGCACTACTTGAGCAACTTGAGTGGGTTGTAGACTCCGTCTCCTGCTACCACTAGAGTGAAAACACTGTCAGCATTCAAAGTGACCAAAACATCATCCAGAAAGCAGGAAGTGAGAAGTCACCACCTGTAAAACCACTCCTTTATTGGGGGTGTCTTGCTAATTGTCAATAATTTCTACCTGTTGTCTGTTCCATTTGCACAACAGCAGGAGAAACTGTCAATCAGTCTAGTGGACAGTTTGATTTCACAGAAGTGTGATTGACTTGGAGTTACCAAGCACCCGGACGACAACTGAGATTGTGGGGTGCTCAAGGTGGTTGGTCGCGTTCTTTTGCGTTGTCACTGAAAATTGAACGGAGACCTTGTTTGGTTTTTTAGGGGCTGCAGGAGTGTTTGTGTTTAGTCTTCGGACTTTGTTGAAGGTGGTGGATTGGCGTAGGGTGAGGGCGCTGCTGAGTTTTCTGGGGTGAATTAGAGGCTGTGAACGTGTTTGGTTGCTTCGTCGTTGTGGCAGCAATACGCCTCTTGGGCGTCCATCCTGGCGTTCCCAAAGAAGAAGAAGTGTTGGAGTTACAGTGTGTTGTAAAAGTGTTCCCTTTATTTTTCCTTTATTTAATCCTTTGTGGATTATATAATTAAATATATGTAAAAAAAATAAATAACTGGTTTGTCATCCTGGGTCACAGACATTTTCCCCATTTGAACAGATTAAACTCACGTGCGGTAAAGGTTAAATGTTATAGTTGGATGATCTAAACATACGAAACTTAAAGCACAAAAAGGACAATAATAACATCTAGAACTGCTTTGAATTAAAGCACAAAAGGTTAACACAGTTTCTGTAGTTTCTGTCAAGTAACCACAACTGCAGTTTTATAGTGTTTTCAAAACTCTGTAAGGCAGACAACAAAGATCTGTAAACCTACAGAGCAGTTAGAATACAATACAAATTCCTTTAAAGAAACAATCCATGGCTGGTACAGAAGATGAAATGGGACTCTGACTTCCTCCAAACAATGACTTTGATTACCAAGATTTGTTTGTTTCCACAAAATGACAGCTGAAACCCCAAGTCCTCCTCTAAACGAACGTCTCGCTGTAGTCCAAACCCAGCTCAGCGGTCGGCCACCTACAGACCAGCAAAAGCAGAGAAAAAATACACAAAAACGAGGGGAAAACCCCTTTATATCAAAGTCTGCCTCGTTGTGACTCCCTGGCTCGTGTTTATCAAATGCTGATTTTAGTGCTCCATTTTTATCATGCCGTTTTGTGTTGTTTAGCAATCAGTCAAACCGAGACTTCCCTTTGTCCATGTCAATGTAAACACTTGTCTTCTCAAAACAACTCCATTTGTATAAAGAAAAGACATAAATTACCCTTCGAAACTCTTGGTATATATAATTTTTGTGTTGCTTACTAAAGCGGAATTACTTCATGTAATGATCTTCTGTTCACTGGGAAAAAGTGAGTTGAAATCCATCTGATGGTGATTTTTCCACCGCTTTGCCTTCCTTTGTTATCAGCCACCACTTTTACGTGATCCTCTTTGTTCTAACCCTCAGTTCGCTTTGATTATGTCCATCAACCTTTACTCTAAGGGAACCTTCTGAAGTTACCTGGCTGAGTTTCCTCGACAGCAGGAAGGAAAACCTTTGAGGGGGGATGGGTGGAGATAATGCGAAGTGGAGTGGGAGACCCAGACGGTGACTTGGCTGAGGTCAGGTGTAAACACAAAACAGCTGGCTAACAGATGTGCTCAGATGGGAGCCAGTGACCGTGTCTTTGGTCCCTGCATCTCCTCTCACCTGATGTTAGGCTGATTCAAAGACAAATAGAAAGAATTTGTAAAATGTGCCCAGTGGTAGAATATATATATATATATATATATATATATATATATATATATATATATATATATATATATATATATATTTTTTTTTTTTTATTTATATATATATATATATATACATATACACACACACACACACATATATATATATATATATATATATATATATATATATATATATATATATATATATATATATATATATATATATATATATATAGTGACGTGCAGCCAGAGGAGGCAGGGGAGGCAATGCCTCGCTTTGTCATTGTGACAAATAAAATTCTGATAATGATTCAATATAAAGTCAATGTGTCTACTCACTGCTCTATATATTAGTTTGTTGTTTAATTTCTTTATGTTTATGGTCTAAATTGCTGAGTTTAACTGTTTCCTGACAAATATACATGCAGAAGCGAGAGAGGAGACAGAGACGAGCCTGCCTCCCCTCTCTCTGAGCTGCCCCGCACACACTAACTGATTCAGGCAGAGCGCATGCGCCAGCTATCTGTTTCAAGTGTGTGCGGCACTGCACCCTCTGGAGGCAGAGATGAGAGTTGGCTCCGTTGTCACGGAGCAGCGCCGCACACACTCACTGAAACAGGAAGTTGGTGCATGCTCACTGCTGTCTGTCTTTACATCACCGACATACATGTTTTATTTCACATGTGCTGCACATGATGATGTTCTACAGTCTGTCTAATATACATAGAATGACTGTGTGAAAAATGTAGTCTTCTAAGTGGCTATAAACACACAGTGAAAATGCACTGGGGAGGCAGGCAGTACCCTGCCTCATTGATAGGGGCATTGCTGAGCCCCATAGACACCAGTACAAACTCCCTACAAACTAGGGGTTGTGTGAACTAGTCGACTAGTGACTTCACGGCTCTGTAGTGACTTTTTATGCCTGTCATTGACTAGTCGCTGTCACATGGTAATGACTGACAAGATGCAGTCCTCGGAAAAGACAGCAGGTGATGAGCCCCTGCGTCGGGAGGCGGAGGCGACGCGCTGTGCCAGAGCGTCGGTACTGACACGGCGGTAAAACGGACATTTGACCAAACTGTGACCTTTTCCCTCTTGCAATGTTACCTTCCCCTCACCCCCACCCTAATCTTAACCAGTTTGCGCATGCAAAGCTCTGATTGTTGATGCGCTCCAGACATCTGCGTCCTGAGCACCGCCAAATCAGGTGTCACCACCTCAAAAACAAACTAAACACGCGATCGTGTCATGTTTTCTGTCTGTTATTTGTGCCTGATGCGTTTCGCTGCTGCGGAGCGAGGCACATCACCTGTTTTGTTCTCCGGTGACGCACCCCCAAAATTCCACTATCTCCGCTCTGGCACGAACTCCGCAGCTAAAACGGTCCCGTTGTAGTCGGCCGGCGAGCTGCGGCACTCCGCTGTTTTTGTGGTCGGTACATCTTAGAACTGCAGTTCAAAGGTAACTCATGAGGTGAATATAAATGAACCCAGGTAGCAGTTTTTCTTTAGGATTGAGAGGAGATGCAGGAAGATAATAAACAGGCAGGACAGAAAAATAGTCAAATAAAAACAAGTTAATTTTTGCACCTGCTGGTTGCAACAAACAGACACCATTGAAGGTAATCAGAAGTGAGGAACAGAAAATGAAATAATTATTTTAATGTTTAGAGCAGCAGGAAAGGCTGCAGGCGCATCAGTAAGATTGCGGCTGCTGCGCAGGGGGAGGGGGGAGAGGACGGAAGTAGGATGCAGAAACTACCGTTGTTAAAAGAGACGTGTTAACTTAGAAAATGTGGGCGCAATTTTAATTGTCAAAAACTCCAGCGAACCTACAGACCCCATATCTATCTATATATATATATATATATATATGTATATATATATATATATATATATATATATATTTATACCTTGAGCGGGTGCCCAGCTTCTCCTGTATCCTGCCTGAGAATAGCAGGTGGCTGGCTGTTCCCATTTCCCAGGGCAACTGGTCTGGCTTCGATGCGCGGCTGTAGTCATGCTGGTCAATGTTGGATCTCTGAGGCAGACCACAGAAACACAGCAGCTCTTTTTGTTGACGCTGCTTCACTTTTGAATCGCCCGACTGCATTTTTCACACTGAAAACACCCGGGGAAACTCAGTTACCTTCGGGTTAGTATGTAGCTAATGTTCCCCTGATCTCTGGCTCCCGGAGAAGGGACCATCAACAACGGCGGACATGCAAATCTTTCACAGTGGTGGACCAACGAAGCCCCATATCCTCGGTCAGCTTACCTAGTCATTATTTTGTTACTGGCCTGAGGTGCCTTTACTTTGGCGTCGCTCTATCGCGTTTTTCTTGCTGAAAACGGCAGGAAAAACTCCGTTAGAATGTAGCTACTGTCCCGCATTTCGCCAACCAGGGAGCAAGAGCTGATGTAAAAGGTCAGATAAAAGACTCATTGGTTATATAGGATATAAACTTTAATAGAGGCGGTTCAACAGGTAAGACAGTCATTATTTATAACTTTTACACAGAAACACGTATTAAAAATATTCTAAATATCCTTTTAAGAGAAAACAGTGTTACTCCATTGCGTTAAGTCGAGTGAATGTGTGGTAGATGAGAGAGAAAGTCCGGCGTTTCCCATTTTAAACTTAACCGGAGGGTCTAGGAGACTCATCCAACGGAATTTTGAAAGGATCTTTCACTGCCCTGACATCAATGAGCACAGCGTGATTACATTCCTTTCACACCATACCTTCTTTTTCTTTTTTTTATCTCTCTCTCATTCCCTTATACTCAGCATTTGCCAGTCGCAAACAGAACAGACAACTTTGGTGCATTTTTGTGGATTTTCTGAGACCTCTAATCAAACTCTCAAACAAATGATCTCATCGTGTAATGGGATGGAGAGACGCAAGCAACAACAAAACAAACTTTTCTGTACCGCTGGAGCAATACCCAAACATTTACACCCCGGCGGAACACTTTAAATATTTACCGATCTTAGTAAAACAGTCGGGGATTATCTTGTATTGTGATAGCGCCGAGAAAAGACTCAAACTTTCCATATTCTTCGACTGATACAAGAGGGGAGATCAGATTGAAATCTCTTTGTACATAAACTACCCATTGACTCACTGTCTTCCTGTCGGAAGCTGCAATTAGCTCCCCGAGACAAAGTTCTCAGACATTTTAAATGGCTGAAAATAAATAAATGTGGCTATTGCTGTTAGGCTGAAGGCCCTGTTTCAATTACAGCCTAGGCTGTGGTCTGTGTCTCTCACTGAGCTGTTGGCTCCTCCGAGCCTTGCTTCTATGGAGACGTTTTAATTGCTGTGTTTTATTTGAGAGAGAAACAGTGAGGGGAAATGTTCTGTATTCATCTTGGCCTCCCACTACGCTTCAGTCATGACGTCCTGGGGTGATCTGTCTCTTTTGCGCAGGACAGCGTACAGTAAAGCTCAGAGCTGCCCAGACAATGCTTTCATTCTTCCCATCGAGAATGGAGATTTTCTTCCTCGGGACTGAAGTTTTTTTGTTTTCTCCCATTGAGCAGATTGATTTATGCGACATAACTTTTTACGACTCAAATTCCATCACCTTCGAGCGGTAAACTGAAATAGGGATTTGCTAAAAATCACAAGACTTTCAATAAAAACAGCATTTGACAAACTCTGCTCTGGATATTCATCGTTAGATTAGCGGTTGGCATCCGTTGGGCCTTATGTAACTGGTAAGTCGTTTGTGGCTCTTATTTTTAAGGATTCCATCCTTTTTTCAAACATTTCACCAAATCTGCTGAAGTCGGCTGTGTTTTTGATGGAGTGTACGATTTCAGACTCCTGAGTCGATTCCCGCTTTTTCCACATCCAGCTTATGGCAGCCACGTCGACGATCAAAAGGTAACGTCTGCTCGTGGAGACAACTGACAAGCGAAGACATCCAGATCTCAGTGTGTGTGTGTGTGTGTGTGTGTGTGTGTGTGTGTGTGTGTGTGTGTGTGTGTGTGTGTGTGTGCGTGTGTGTGTGTGTGTGTGTGCGTGAAGAAGTGGGTCACAGAGGGAGACCAAACACACACACACACTTCACAATCTTCCTGCTGTCAGATCAGTACCCTCCATCAGCGTATCTCTATCACTGCCTCTCTGACTCTTTATTTGTTCTTCTTCCTCTCTGTCCTCAGGCGTCCCATCAATCATTCTCATTCAGAGCTTCAAATGTTTCCTTTGTCCCCTTCACCGCAGCAACACCATGAATTTTCTCTTAGATGTGATAATCTGATGATGGTTACATTTTTTTTTCCAGGAGTGCTGCAGTCTTTCTGCTTCTCTCCTCACCCCTAAGGTGTGTCTTCAGCAGCGATGGTTGCACCTTTCACCCCTCCCATTTTCTCCAGAGGTTCCACGCAGACAGATGGTTTGAGTTGGAGGCCTGCCGCCACCTGCTAATATCATACATGCTTTTAATTTATCTCACATCTTAATGGATGGCAGAGTAGACGGGCAGCTTTGCACGCTGCTCAGCCAATCCTCTCACTCTGTTTATTGCCTTATTTATTTGACTGGTTCTATGGAACAAAGCAGTCGGTCCCTACGAATGAGGCGGAGGAGCCAGGACGGTTGGAACTCCTTTATCACCGCTCATGAATGTGACTCTTCAGACTGCATCCTCGATCCTCATACATCTCAAACATAGATTATCTGATATTTTCATCTCTTTAGACCTTTAAAGGAGACCTAGAATGTAAACCAACATTTTCCTTGTTGTTGTTGAATAAAGACAGCTTGGGTGGTCAAAAGTAGCATGCCAAAAAGTCTAAGCCGTGTGTGACCTAGGTTTTGTTCACAAAATTGAACACAGAACATGTGCCGAGGTACAAAAATATCAAAATATTTCTACGAGGTGCGAATATTAATTGTTTTTAAAGTCTGTTTGTTAAAAGGTCAGTAACACATGCAAGTGCACTTGTAATCAGTATTTTGGCAGTTAATTGCAACTTACTTTACATTTAATATTTCAGCCTAAAATCATAATTACATCTCCATCTTCAGGTTAAAACTTGGGTGGGGTGGGGTGGGGTAGGGGGGGGGGTTGCTAATCATTGCCTCAGTGCCGCTAATGCAAACTATTAGAACTTTGCTGACATGTGAAATCAAAAGCCAAATGAGGCTTTTATTCACAGACGCTGTACTCACCTTCATGCTGCTACGGTCCGGGTGTATCATCAGATCGCTACACCTGCAGGCACCTCCCACTGAACGTCAACCTCGCTGCCAACGCCTCTGCTGAATTAACCACCATCATCTTAAAATTTGTATCATAACTCTGCCTTGTTTGGTAGCTTGTTAACTCACCCCACTGTTGGTCCTCTCTGCTCCAGACCTCTGGTCTCCATTTTATTCTCCTGTTGAGAACATACCGCCTGGCGTCCTCTGCTGCTACGGTCGTGTAATGACCCCCAGACAAATACCAGCATGTGTGAACCATCAACTTATATATATATATATATATATATATATATATATATATATATATATATATATATATATATATATATATATGTATATGTATATATATGTATGTATGTATGTATATTGGACAATTCCTGTCCATAGGCTCGTATTCTAAGTTTTTAATCTGAAGTGGGAGGTGGCCACCACCACCATTTTGATTGTGTCACACGTCTCGTCACGCCCAGACAATTTCATAAAAGGGAAAAGAGGAGGAGCTGAGGGTGGGGATGTAAGGATGGGATCAAATGACGACACCCGTCGAACTGAAGCGATGTAGCTACAAGCTAACCCAAAGCTAACACGGAGGTGGGAGCTAAGCTAACGGAGGTAGCTACCTAGCTACAACCGGAGCCAACTGTGCACAACACCAGAGCTTCTGAGACAGAGATGCGCCGATATGCCGCTGGGGAGAACCGGGTGGAGCTCATCGGTTTCTATCCGAGAGCTCCACAAGCCGGCAGCCGCGCAGCAGACAGGTGCCACTATGGTCAGAGATGCGTCGAGCTGAGGCTGAGGGGAAGGGACCATACCGATAGTCGGAACCCAGCTCCACCAACATGATATATTTCAACTCATTTTCAAAAATGCAGCGTTATGTTAAATGCACTGGGTTTTACCCTATTCAATTTAAATTTCATGGTTAAACAGTACATATTAAAATGGTAGTTAGCAAGCTACTTTGATAAGCTCAGCTAACGCAAGAGCGGCAGTGAAATACATAAATATAATTTTATTACCGAAAAAAAGGAAGTGGCTCTTGGACACTCTATTATTGCAATTAATACCACAGCAAGTCATTTTGTCCAACAATTGCACAAATAATATCCAAAAAGAATGCACAAACAGCACAACTAATGGTCTAAGTTGAGAGACTGAAAATCACGGAACAGTTTTAAGGCAAGGCCGAGACTCAGGCTGAGGCCTTTCCCCGGAGCTAGCTTTGCGGTCACATGGGTCTGATGCTCATTCATTAGTCAGAATTTTAGGCATTTAATACACTTAAACAGAAGAGTGACAAAAAAATCCACCCCCCCTCACAGTTGTCATGAGTGTAAACTAGATCTATTAAACTTAAAACATGTTTTGGTACCAGGCTGTAAACATGTTTATTTCTGCTGTGAAATTGGTATTTTTAACATGGGAGTCAATGAGGATCTGCTCGCTTCTAACACCAGCCCCTAGTGGATGAGGGTGGAACTGCAATTTTTGTCACTTCCTGTTTTGCTTCATATCCAGCCCCTAATTACGGGGGCTTGGTGTGAAGGCTTCAGGGGTGGCCTGATGGGGCCAAAGAAAATTTTGGATTGGCACACCAAATTGGTCCTTGTGGTAACTCTGGGAGAATTTAGCCTGTGAAGATGCGCTGCATTGCACCTTTATTCATTTTTAATAAAATAACAGTGCATATCCAAAACATTTAACTTCAATTTTACAAACACAAATATTTTAGGAAAAAACACTGCAGTTATTTAAAATGTTACCCCAAATTTAATTTAATTTTTTTTTAGATTTATTCACGTGTGTTGCAGTGTTCACAAAATTTAAAAAAACTATGGAGATAAAAAAAACTTTTTTTAAATGGTGAGCAGCAGAAACATATTTATTATTTTTATTCTGATTATGTCTTTACTCATTAATTGTAATATTTTTTGTTTTACAATTATGTCTTGAATAAACAAGATTAATATATGGTTTGATTGAACATTAATATGATTAGTTAACACTGGCTTTTCCTGGGGGGGGGGGGGGGGGCAGTAATTTTCTAGGGGTGGCCATGGCCACCCCTTGGGGGCGCCCTTGGAATGCTTAGACCTCGATTATAAGATGACCCAACATTTTGAAATGATTTTCAATGAAAAAAACTCATCCTATATTCAGGTCAGTACGGTATTTATATTTTAAAGACTAAATTTTTCGTGAAAAGTCCATCAACTCTGCATCGGCTGAGGTACGTCCTTAAATTTGAAGCACATAAGCGGTAGTTTAACGTTATTGGTCAGTTCTGGGCAGTGCTCAGTTTCCTATTGCATGGAGCTCTGCGGGGCAGGGGGTGTGCTTAGCAAAAAAAATTTAAAATAAAAGACGCATTGCTTACCTTATATCACGGTACATGATATGATTGTCCCTTTTATGGATTTCTGAAAAATCATACATTATTTCTCAAAGAGGAAAACTCCGGTCAGCTACTTTAAGAAGTTAAAAGAAAAATGTCTCCAAGTTTCAGATTCAGCAGGGTTACCCAATAACAGTGGAGCTCGATCTGGCAATTGCATTTGCAGTATTGGGAGAACGTGAGACATATAGTAATATTCAAGTATTAATACTTGACTACTAAAAAGTATTTTTGATGAACAAAATAAGTCGAGTCTTAAATTCAAACACTATTGCAAAATTAAAAACACAAACAAGCCACTTAATCACTTGTGCACACACCCTCATCACACTTATGCATGCACACTCATACAGTACATGACCCACCCTAATGGTAAATAGTAAAAAGGCCTTTTATTGAAACAACTGAATCAATAAAAAGATTCGATACATTTAATTAATTCATTAAAAGCCAAGCTAGATAGGAAGGTCTTGAGCCTCCTTTTAAAAACATCAACTGTTTCTGCAGCGCTGAGCTTGTCTGGCAGGCTGTTCCACATCGTCTGGTGTCACAGAAAAACATGAAATAACCGCAACATTTAGAAAACCCACTGTATCATAACATGTTATGCACTGACCTGGCTCCCTTTCACCCTCAAAGCTAATGAAATGTGTAACTATATGGTCAAACTCCCTGGATCATTTGACAAAGGAAAACAAGTAATTTCTGTTTAAACATTTGGATGTTATCTAATGAGCTTTGAAAGAAAAGCATCTGGACTTCTTTGAGTTGCTTGAAGACGTTTCATCTCTCATCCGAGAGGCTTCTTCAGTTCTAAGGTCAAATGGTGGAGAGTCCCAGATTCAAACCCAGTGGGAGTTTCCCCCCGAAGAGGGAACAAAAGACCCCCTGATGATCTTCTACATAAACACATGAGTCAAGGTGTGAGGGTGGGTGTGGGTCCTATTCAGACAGAGTTTCAGGTGAGCTCATTGTGAAACCTGGCCCCACCCTATCATGTGAATTCCTGAGGTCAGATGGCCAAGGATATGCGTGGGCATTGAGGCATCTGGGAAGGGATCTCAAAACTGGATTATAGATGGCAGACAGTTGGTGTCGTAAACCACCGCCTCTGTTCAAAGATGGTTGCTCACAGTGGACATAAATGGCTTCCTTTACTCCTCTTTCAAACCATCTGTCCTCTCTGTCCAAAAAGTGAACGTTGGCATCCTCGAAAGAGTGACCTTTGTCCTTTAGATGCAAATGAACTGCTGAGTCCTGTCCTGTGGAGGTAGCTCTTCTATGAGTACGCTTACATGCAGCCAATATCCGGGTTATGATCGGGTTAAGGTCGGGATTTGGATTTCTGAGTTGATCAGAATAACCCGTTTACAAGCATAAATAGAAAGAGTTACCTCTAACTTGCATAACCCGATTTAACTGCGGACGTTGGGGTAGCGTCAGGACGCATGGACTACATCCAGACGCAATATGCGTCATTTCCGGTTGTTCTTGTTCCGGTATCCGTGAAAACAACAACATGTTTCCCAGTTCGGAAGAGATAGTGACCGCGTTTGTTTGCGCTTTAGTTTCCTCGTCACTCAAAGTGTGGTGCTGTGCCGCGACTCGCCATTTTGCCCCCAACTTGTTGCTTACTTCCGGTGTTCTGGCGCATACAAGACGTCTCGCTACTCAAAAGACCAAGATTCCTTGCGAACAGAGCATGCGCAGAACACACGCTTTGATGGGGATATCCCGGTATGCGTTTACACGACCAAACATTCGGGTGAGAAAAGGGTTACCCCAGGTGTAGTAACCGGGTTTTTAAGAACCCAGTTATGAGCATATCCGGGTTTTTGGCGGTGTTTACAAGGACCTGCGGAACCGGGTCATTGTGAATATTGGGGTTTTAAAAGGGTTACTGGAGGCATGTAAACGCACTGTATGTTGTGCCATGCACTTGTGAAGTGGCTGTTTGGTTTCTCCGATGTAGAGGTCTGGGCATTCCTCGCTGCACTGTACAGCATACACCACATTGTTCAGTTTGTGTTTAGGAGTTTTGTCTTTCGGGTGAACCAGTTTCTGTCTGAGTGTGTTGCTGGGCCTGAAGTGCACTGGTATGTTGTGTTTGGAGAAAACCCTCCTGAGTTTCTCTGATACACCGGCTACATAGAGGATGACAAGGTTGTTGCGTCTGTCTTTCTTATCCTCCCTAGGGTCTTTTGTTCCCTCTTCGGGGGAAACTCCCACTGGGTTTAAATCTGGGACTCTCCACCATTTGACCTTAGAACTGAAGAAGCCTCTCGGATGAGAGGTGAAACGTCTTCAAGCAACTCAAAGAAGTCCAGACGCTTTTCTTTCAAAGCTCATTAGACTACAATGACCTGGATGACTGAGAACCTTCACAGACATATTTGGATGTTATGTGATAGTAGTAG